AATCAAATAAACAGTAATAATAATAAAACAACAACAAAAACATGGCCGCAAATGAGTTTCATGAAATGCATACGTTTGCATTCGAATCGTTCGCGATACGCCGGAGGTGTGGGGGAAGGAATCGTTCACAATACGCCGAGCGCAGGCGGACATTTCACATTGATCGAAATGGCGCGGCCTTAACCGTGGGCCGCCGAGCAAAGTTTGCGCAAGTAAACATCGTCAAATGAGACGTTGGTCAATTTTGCGGACGACATAGCTGTCTGCGGAGTGGCCAGAGCACCACTTAAAGTCAACGAGTGACCGAATGGCTACAAGTAGATACAGACAGATTCTGACAAGGAGCTGACAAATGTTGACTTATCGCTGTCACAGGAACGGCCGATCAATAACTGTCGAGAAGGCTTTGCCGTGATTTCATCTAAGCCGCCACGGTTCTACACAACAGCGCCACTCCCTAAATGATCGTTGATTACCTTTGTTTTTCGAAATTATTATCAAAATCTGGAGGGGGGAAAGGGAAAAACAAAAACACTAGAAACGTGATGAGTTTTTATTTTACTTTCATGCAGTTAGCATGGCCGCGCTTACATCATTAGTGTTCAACTGAGGCTATTCAGTCACCCCGTGAATAAATACTGTGACCTGTTTGACAGCCTCTCAGACAAACGCCATCTTATGCTGATATATGGCTCCTGGAGACGGGACAGCCCAAAGTCGTTAAACACCGCAGGCTTAAAATATGGGGCTTTGTGCCACAATCCGTCCACTAAGGCGGTGGTGCGCAGGGATTTAGAAGCGCTGTCAATCCATCAAGGAATCGGCACCCGAGCAGCACCAGGGGAGACACACGCATTCAAGCCAGACCCCAGAGACATGGCCCAGACATGTGAGAGAAAAAAAACGGATACTCACCGAATGCCAGTGTGCTCTGATAATTACAGACATTTTATTCCTGTACGTGTATATATATATCATTCTATATATACATACGGCATCTGATCGAGTGGTGCCGTGGTTATGAAACATGTATGCGGCAGAGACTGATCAATTTCACACTCGTGGTGGGGAGTACGCAAGCCTGCTAACAATGAGCGATTAATAAAGCAATCCTATACCTATGCATTTGAGCCAAGTTGCCGTGGCACATCGAAGTAATCCAGTACTTTGGAGGTGAGGCTTGGTGGGATCACACAGATGTGTGAAACTCTCAAACCCGCTGGGGCTGCGAGGTGGCCAGGAGCGGGTAGAACAGCAAGTACATTTCGTCTATTTGTTCGCAGCTATGAGTGTAATTTCCTGGTAAGTGTGCATTTTCTCCAGACTTTCCAGTTTCCTCCCACGTGTCAAAACTCATTAATACAATTAGCCAAACATCCCAATAGTGCAAAACCCTCATAAAAGTTTTGAGGTTCAGAAACGCTGTTTCCTGCAAATACATGGGATGAAAAAGTGTAAGTGATTTTTTGCACAAATTAGTGTCTAATACATAGGACAACCACTATTGACCTTCGCACAAAGTGGTACTTATTTTTTTGACCGGAGAGAGAATATGGACGGACACACAACCACCAATCAGGATTTGGACTCGCAACCTTCCAATTGCGAGCCGCTCGCTCTACCGCTGAGCCACATCGGCATCGCCCCGATGTGTAATACGCAACTGGGATTATCCTTCCCATTGCAGAGAAAATGCTCATTTCAGCGGCCAAACAATGCGACCCAAAAGAACGATGTGCGGAAACGGTTCTCACCCCGCGGGGTCATAATTGCACCTTTGGCAAAAAAATGGCTGCAAAACGTTGTGCCGACGATTCGTCCCGTCGTTTGTAAACGGGGAAAATTGACGGATTTTTCATCACAATTCGGATGAAAGGGGAGCCGCGTTCGGCCAATGCACGAATCGGGGCCAAGTATCTTGCAACGAAAGCGCCCGTAGTGATATCGTGCTACGGCAACAAAAACCTCACAATCAAAGAGGGCCAATTTATAAAACGGCGCACCATTTTATGCAGGTTAAAAAAAGAACCTTATCAAGGAAATGTTTTATCAATTTCCAAGCGCTACGGAGTTTAGCGCTAAAAAACAGGTCACGCTTCACAATGCGATGCTAGCCGCTGCTCTCATGAATGCTATTGTGCTGTGAAGGCTCAGCTACCCCTGGGCTGTTTATTTTTTTGTAGCCCCCAAAGTCACGTTTGGCTTTTGTCGCTGCTCCGCCTTTTAAACAACAACCCTAGGAGGTCCATTCGCTGCAAGGCTGCACATTGGTCACAGAAAACATAAGGCTCGGGTGAACAGACAATCTAAACGAAAGATAGCGAGTACAATTTAAAAAGAACCAAACCAATTACATTGAAAACCGCGTGAATTTCTTTCGCGACCCAATGTGTGTTATATATTTTTAGCGTTATCCCCTTTGTTGTGTATACATTTTCTCCGTGAACAGTTTTTTTTCCTCTCACGAGCACAGAAATCACTCGTGATGAAAGCACTACGATTCACTGAGGCTTTGTTGGAAGAAACAAAGAATAATCATAATAAATGTGTAAATCTCTCGGCCCTTGAAGTGGCCAGGTAACTCCGTGGTCAGGTCACCGGGCTGGCACCGCTGGGGCACCTGGGTTGGAATCCAGGCAGCTGTCTGCGCTTAAACTGTGCCCTCCAGTGTCGTGAGTTGACGGTGAGGTCATTGTGCTTTACCACCCTCCCACCCTATTGAGTGCCAGGGTGGCGCAGTGGTAAACCCTTGTGCCTCACAGCAAGAAGGGCCTGGGTTAGATCCCCAACTCGGGTGCTTCTCTGTGTGGCATCTGTGTGTTCTCCCCCTGTTCTGAATGGGTTTCCTCCAGCTTCTCCGATTTCCTCCCGTGGCTAGAAGAGCAACACGCAATGTAACTGGTATTGCACAAACACAACAAATTCTAAAAGAGTACGTGAAAATTACTCATTTGGGATTAAAACCTAGCAACATTGCCCACCACTACGAATTTTCTGCAGGACTCTCCTGATAAAGAATCTTGAGACTCAGTGAGTCTGTCCTGGGTAAACTAGAATCATAACACTGGTCAACACACTTTTTCTGGCATAAGGTATTCCAACGGGTTTAAGGTAATTTTGGGGTGCTGATTCCAAATCTGGTATCAGTTTTTGTCTATCACATCAGGTATTTGAGATATCAAATGTTGCATTTTTAATAAAAACTGCAGAAGAAAAATATTAAATAAATGTGGATATCTACAAAAAATGATATTATAAAAACACTATCCTAAAAATACAGCACCATATTTTAACACTAAAGCAGTCACTGACTCGCAACAACTTGCAATCATAAGTGACAGAGTTAATTTATGGTAAAATCAATGAAAATGGGGTATGCCGATAGCATAATAAGTATAACCCGTAAAAACAAAGTTTTTCACTCTAAATCCTTTATATGCGTGGCGGCTAAAGTCCTCTCGTCCTCTGGCTTGAGATGGCTGCCACCTATGGGTCAGATGATTGCAGTATTAAACAATTGGTAATTAAATATTTAATTTGTTTTCCCTAAACAGTGTAAAATTTTGGAAATTTTTTTCACGAACATTAATTGTCACGCACAACGAGTCTGTGTGCAAAATGTCAGCTCGATTGGATCACGGGAAGTGGGTTAAAACACGACCGAAAGGTTTGCACGGTCGTAAGCAAGCAAGCACGCAAGCAAGCGAACTTAATATAAAGGATTTAAAAATGAGATGTGATGGAGCAAATCTGAGATCAGATTTGGAATCAGCACCCTGAAATGAGTCTAAAACAGCTGCAAAAGTCCAGGCCAGAATTTTTTTTTTTTTTGTTGACCAGCGTAATAAGTGGAGACACATCACATGGAATGCATCTGGTCATATCCTATCTCAGAAGCTAAGCGGGATTTAACCTGGACAGTTATCGGATGGGTAACCACCTTTCCCAGTGGGTTGTTGAACTTTAAATCGATGCTCTCTCGCACCTGTGCTCCCTGCCTTTGTCAACTTGCATTAGCCAGCATGGTGAAGTATAGTAAAACAATATATATATATATAAATATATATATATATATATAACCCCTATGACCCACAAGGTGTGAGAGGAAGCCTTCATTCAACATCGGATTGACAAAAAGGGCTGCACAGGTACAAATATCACTCACTATAAATGTTCGTACATTGTCATTTGGCCATTGTATAATAACATTAAGGACGCACGATAAATCCACCTATGTACAGAGTACAGAGATCATCATCCCGGAGGACTGCAACGTGAATCTCCGAGTTGCTTCAGGGTCATCATAATCCGGGTCCATTCTCTGACATTGTGTGATGCTCTGTGACCTTGGTCGTGGGAATCCTCTCATCCCATTGCACGTGGCAGGCTGGGAGCACACGAGCACCAACAAAAACCTTGCAATTGTAACGGAGCAGAACCTATTATCCGTGTGATTCAGTACAATTTAGAGGCCGTCCATAAATGACGTCACGCGATTTTGGACGATTTTTTACCCCCCCCCCCCCCCATCGTCACACGGCGTCACAAAAAGTCAGACCCCTCCTCAAATATGACGTCGCAAAGCTCTGCCCACCCCCCCCCCAAAAAAAAAAACATGCTTCAAATCGCTTTAAACTATTGTCATTGTAGTGCGTGTTTAATGTGGCGCTGCACTCTGATGTTGTAGAAGAAAACATTTATTAAAACGTCTATTTAATTAAGTGGAACGTGTTGTCTATATTTATTTAAAATTGCGCATTTTGATGTGACGTCACATTTCTCACCCCCCCCCCCTCGTCACACATCGTCACAAATATCTGACCCCCCCCCCCCCCAGGTGCGTGACGTCATTTATGGACGGCCCCTAAGATGTCAGTGAGAGAAGGGTCACTCCGAAGGTAAGGATACTACATTCCGACATAACATTGACAGCACGATTGTGCTAAAGGCGGTGATAAACCCGTAACAATATATGTGTATGTCGCGCACGTGCGTCTCACTTTGTGGTCCGTGGTGAGTTGCTTCACGAGTTGCTCCCAGTTCTGGAGGTCGTAGTTGACACGGAAGTATCCCGTCTGGTTTATGTTCCCCAGCAGCCAGTCGGAACCAATCACGTGCTTCATGGTTACACATTCTGGTGACATAAATTCGCGCAGAAATTCCATTCATGCTCGTGTCCATAATTGCATTATCGCATGCAGCAGTGAGTAGAAAGTGGTGGGGGGCAGAGCAGTGATGGTGGCGCGCACACTTCTCTACGAACCTGGGCCACCTGAGTTCAATTCCCAGCGATGGCTAATCAGTAGCGAGTGAAAACTGACCTGGCCCGGGGTCCCCCCGAGGTCACGTCAATAACTGTCGCTGATCATCCCGGTGAAATATGGTGAAACAATCCCCAGTGACTGACACGGTGCGAGAAGGCCTTCATCCAGCAGTGGATTAACAAAGGGGCATTAATTTATATTATAATTACAGGAGAATGCACACACTGTTAGATCGATGTACGATTATTGCTACGTAATACCCACATCATGTCCTGTACGTATATTGTAAAGTTTGATTGATTTTAAATATGCGTGGAAAATTAGAACCGCACAAAGAAAAATATCCCCCAAAGTCCTGTTAGCAAGCACCTATTAAAGCTGGTATAGCAGACGAGAGGATAATCTAGCGCGTAACATGTTAACCCTTTCCCATTCCGATTACGTATGTGTACGTCATCGAAACGGAATCAAAAGAAAAAGTAAAATAACTTTATCGGGACGTCTTCAGGTCGGAAGACGTACCAAGGTGCCCGCAAGGCCATGCAGGAGGGTGTGTGGCACAGTTTAGCGCCAGCTATCACAGAGTGTGGGACGTGTCGATACAGTTCTCGGCGCTATGCTTCTCTAAATAAAATGAACGCTGAATCGCTCGCACGTTCCGAGATTCAGCGGTGAACGGGACCCACCCTGCAGCTTGCAGTCATCTCGGAACGGGAAAGGGTTAAATCCAAAACTGTATCTCTCTATTGATGGCATTCACACACCACACAATTGTAGCTTGAGTTGACGTAGAGGAGGCATGAGGTCAGGTTCAATGTCCAATCTACACTCGCGTTGCACCCTGGTCTGGAATCTAACTCGAAGCTGCTCAGATCAGAGTACGGCACAATGCCACAGAATTAAGCGGCAGGCTGCCGGGGTTTTTAAACCCTTTACTGTATGCCGAATTTCAAAGCACACATTGCAAAAATAAAAATCCTGTATTTAAAAAAGGGCTTAGGAGTAGCTTTGAAAATTGTTATGCTGTTAAAGGGTTTAAAAACCAGCTGCCCACCACTCAAATTAAGTGAGGTTGACGAGGGTGTTCATATGCTAACCACCCATGCCACTATTTCCCCAACACACATAGCCTTAACAGACTGTTGGGGCAAGTGCTGTTAGCGAGCACCTATGAAGGCCGGCACGGTACACGAGGGGGTGGGTGGTCAACATCACGCCCGGCCGCCTTTGTCTCCCTAATAGCGATGTTTACACACTGCACCAGGTACTCATTTTAGGCTGAGTCGACCTAGGGGAGGCCCAAGACCGGTTCAATCATCGTCACCGGTGTTGGCCGTGAGTGGGAGTCGAACCTGGGTCGCCAAGTTCGTTGCGCAGCGCGCTAACCGCTACACTAGCGCTCCCCCACCAACACACACAGACACACACACAAACAAAGACACACACACACACTTGCACGCAGGCAGAGCCTATTCACAACATGCAATAGACGAACTTTTTCACCCGACGGGCGATGCTGAAATGGCTGAGTTGCTTGAAATAGCATTCCAATTTAAATAGCATTATAGCACCAGACTAATAACGCCAAAATGCTTGTTAAGTAAGCTCATAAGAAGTTGCACAATGGAATAAAGTGTTCAGCCACGCAGGGTAATTCTGCATTAACTTTTTGCAAAGACTTCCAACGCTTTTAAAGACATTCCTGTCAACAAATGTGATGGCCAGTCAAAGTGCATTTACACTTCAGACAGTCTTAGAAGACCCGATTCACCTTCTGTGATGCATTATTGCAGGTTTTTTGTTTGAATGCCATTAACAAAAATAAGTGAACCAGCTTGATTTGGCTGTCACACAACATATAAAAGTATAAATGTGTGCTTCATACAATATGAATGTACATTCATTACCCGTCTGGTTTGTAATCCAAATCATTTCATGCTTCCAGAGTCCTGTAGTGTTTCCTGCTGATAAGGTAAGAAGAATTTGCCACCTGAGGACACAACAACAAAAAAGTGATTGCTACACGGCGGAGTTCATTATTTGAACGCTGAATATGAAAACGGTCTCTGTGAGAAACGGAGCATCAAATGGATTGCCGGGTCGTTAGAGAGAGCCGCATATTAAATACTCGCTTTGCTCTCACCCGCAACACCGTCACACAAAAGCACGACTCCATGCAACGAGGTCCATCTAATGCTTATGAACTTTGAGCGAACAACAACAAAAACCTTAACGATAACACTGGTAAAAAAAAAGCATTTTTTTCTGGTCTGGACTTTTACAGCTGTTTTAGACTAATTTCAGAGTGCTGATTCCAAATCTGATCTCAGATTTGCTCTATCACATCTCATTCTTATGCTATCGGCATACCCCATTTTCATTGATTTTACCCGAAATTAACTCTGTCACTTATGATTGCAAGTTGTTGCGAGTCAGTGACTGCTTTAGTGTTAAAATATGGTGCTGTATTTTTAGGATAGTGTGTTTATAGTATCATTTTATGTAGATATCCACATTTATTTAATATTTTTCTTCTGCCGTTTTTTTATTGAAAATGCAATATTTGATATCTCAAATACCTTATGCCAGAAAAAGTGTGTTGACCAGTGTAATTAATCACTGAGGTTTCTTCTTCTTTGTTTCTCTGTTGTGACAACTTTGTTTGGTTATTTGTGATTTTGTTTTTGTTTTGGTGCCATTCATACAATTTGTTTATTAATACGTGTGTCTATGTTGTGTGTCTCTCTCTCTGGGTTGTCTCTCTCTGCTTGTGTGTCTATCTGTGTGTCCCCGTGTCTGTGTTTTGTCTCTCTCTCAAATTTAGCAATCTTTGGAAGAACGTAATCAACTTGGTAAGGTACTGACTGTTGTGTTAGCCGACTATCTGTGTTGGATTGTATTGTATTTCTAAGTCCACTAGGTTTTTTCTACCTGATGACGATTGCTTGTGTTGCAATCGAAACGTCGTATTCTATTATTTGATTGATTTTCTTTCTACGTGACTTTACCGAAAGAACCAAAGAGTTGTTTATTCATTTTAGATTTTTCTTGGAAGGAGGGGTTTTCAAATGCTTTGTAGTGGCTGTATATGGGATTTAGTCCTTATATATACAGTAATTAGCATGGATAATGCTATACAATTGAATAATTATTCATAAAAACACTAAGCTTTGCCTTTCCCTGCAGCCTTTGCTAAAAGGGATTTTCATTATTAATACTTTCTCAAGTTGTATTCTTTTGGATTGCTATGGTTTTCTCAGAGTACTCATTTTCAAATTTATATAATTGGCTGTATTTCTGAACTGAGGACCGAGAAAACCAATTTCCCGCAGGCACTCGCATGTTTCCCATGTTGTAATGGAGCCACATCATAATGAAACATCAAGATTAAACTACTGTGTTTTATTTTTGATTTAAAGCTTTCGTGACTGCAGGGATTCATCTTCTTGGTTATTTCGGTAAAGTCACGTAGAAGGGAAGTAATAAAATAATAAAAATAAAACATAATAAAATTAAAATTATGTTTTATTTTTATTATTTTATTACTTCCCTTCTACGTGACTTTACCGAAAGAACCAAGAAGATACTGTGTTTTATTTACCAGTTAAAGCCCACTGAGCCATTAGGCTCATTTACAGAGGCGACCTGGCCACACATGAAAACTCATCGAAGTGGCTCATCATATTCGGGAATCTATAGGCACCAATTAATCTAAACTCTTTTTTTAAATGTGAAGGGATAATCAGAGGACCTGGAGAAAATGCACGTGATCTTTGGGAGAGAGAACATGCAAACTCAAATTATGCAAGCGTCAGGTTCAGGATTGAGCCCACCATCTCCTGCATACCAGGCGAGGGAGATCAATTATTGCCACCACGGCATCCCGGCAATTCTTGCAGCATTGCCATATGTGACATGCTCTTCAGCTTGAGAGGAGAAGTCCAACATTTTTACGAAAGCTTTAGATCTGCCACAAGTGGTACACTGACAATTTTCTCTGCATATAATTTTATTTTAGACCTACGTGACTTTACCGAAAGAACCAAAGAGTATGGATTCCTGCAGTCACGAAATATTCAAATCAAGATATAAACTAAACTCACAAACAGATAAGTAAGTAAAAGTTATACATGAGTAAATGAATCTATATATACAGTAGAAACTAGATATGAGACAACTCATTGGGAGCAAGTCCAAGTGTGCTTATATCAGAACTGTTTCCAGTATATAGTGTAAATACGTTACACATTGTAAATGTAAAATAAATCACAAAACTAGAAATAAATAGGTCATGGTGTTAACTCTCATCTAATTGCCAAAATGCAACAACATTTAATCATTTGACCAATCACCAATGGCCCGTCTGGCCCAATATACCCCAGTAGCAGTAGTTTAAATATGACAAACCCTGGACTATCTTCTTGGTTCTTTCGGTAAAGTCACGTAGAATGGAAATAATAAAATAATAAAAATAAAACACAATAAAATAATTCTCACGACGTTTCGGCCACAACGCAAGCAGCCGTCCTCAGGTGAAGAATAGGTCTGTCGAGAAGACAAGAGTCCGAATTCGTTGTGGCCGAAAGGTCGTGAGAATTATTTTATTATGTTTTATTTTTATTATTTTATTATTTCCATTCTACGTGACTTTACCGAAAGAACCAAGAGGATGAATCCCTGCAGTCACGAAAGCTTTAAATCGAAATTTAAACCCTGGACTAGTTTGGACCTGGCCCAGACTCATCAGCAGACCGTGGCCATGGAGCCGTGCGATAAAACTCACAGCGAGTCGTTTTGACAGTTGGCGTTGACATCAGCACTGTACAGAAAGTGCTCTTGAGAGATCCGGAGTTTGCAATCTGGCCCAGCATCTCTGTTGATCGTGACCACCGGGTATCCCATTTGAAGAGTCCAAATATCCATCACCTCGCGGATGTTGTGCGTATCTCCATTCTGCCGGGAGACCTGAGGAAAAAGAATATTAGGAGGCGCAATCTAGGTTTGCCGTGACATCGTGTACCACAATATGGTACGATTTTAGGGTAGGGTGGGTTAAGAGGCCAACGCGGGGGGTAAAATGCCTCCTGTGTCCTGGTGCTAACAAAAATGATGTCATCAGCCACAATCAGTTTTAGGTGCAGATATGTGACCCTGCTGCTCGCTTTTGCAGCTCAACAGACAAAAAGGGCTTTTAACTCACGTAGGCCTCTTACTCCCACCTGACTTTCAACTTCCCGATACGACGATTATCGGCAACATCAGTTTCCCTTAACTCTGTAATTGCATTTCACATTTTTATCAGTTTATTTTTGTAAGGCGATAATAAAAGCGTAAAGTTGGTCTCTCCATGCTGCGGCATTTTCTGACAGTTTTGCTCAAGATTTTCTCAACCGTTTGAAAAATATTACGCAAGTTATTTCTACATGATTCGGTATTTTTATTTGCTAGATCTCGTCTGTCGTGAATTGTGATATCAAGTATGATTTACCAGCGGGAATATTTAATGTATCTGACGCAAAGAAATGTTTTGAACTTTGGAGCGTGCTCATATTAATGTCACGAGATGTTATGCACTGATCACGTCATGGTGTGGTAATGTTTGTAAAAAAAAAAAACTCCACGGCAATCACACGAATGACGTATGTTGTTTATTTGGAACATAATATAATTTTGTGTAACCCTTTCATGTCTTGTCGAGTTCAATATGAGGTTATTGTCTGGCAATACAATTATATAGCAGCATTTAGTTTCCTTAACAATACAACATAATTACTTATTGCACTGCTCTGCCTAATTAATTTGTTGTATTTTCCCACGTATTTCTTTTTGTTGTTACAATTATGAGAGAATACTCGGAGTGGGAGGGGTATTAAGGTGGTTGGCGTGCTGCGCGATGAACCGATTGACCTGAGTCAAATTCCCAGGCGTGGCTAGCATCAGTGGCAACTGATAACCGAACCACTTCAACTCCTCCCCCACCAATTACCAATCCTCACTGACCAGTGTGGCGAAGTATGGTCAAACAACCTCCAACGACTGACACATAGCATGTGGAGGGCTGGATTTTATTAATCTGCTTTATAACACAATCCTGGATACCATAATAAAGGCTCAGTCCTTTGTTATGTAGACTAGCCGTAGTCTCAAGCCGCACCTTACCATAATAATAAAAAGGGGGCCGTTCCTGGCCCATCCCCCCCCCCTCAACCAGTATATATACGGGGTAGTATCTCTTGGAATCTCTCATTTACTTGATACAGCAAGCATGCTGTGACGGTTCCACCTGAAGACGGAAGCTTGTGTTGTCTCCGAAACGTCGTGATTTAGATTTTTATTTTACTTTTATTAATTGTAATTTTTTACCTCCGTGACTTTACCGAAAAAACCTAAGAATATGAATCCTGGATAATTTCTATTGACCGCGATACGTGCTGTGGGAAAAGCCACAAGCGTTGTGGGGAATGACAGTTCATTTTAGTCAACGGCGTGTCAAGGGACAGGCACCATACCTTGTCTTTACACCACTTCCTTTTAAGTGGACACACCTCCACGGCACCACGGTGACTCTCAGCTGTCAGATTTATCGTGGCGGCGCATTGATCACAAAGCCACATTGAGCCGTATGAGCCTGAAAGTCCTCCCTCACCGTGCGGTGACAGCTTCTCAGCCAAATTGACTTAGCAGAACAAAGCACTGTACCTTGGAAAGGGTGTTCCACAAATCATCCCTTCCTGCATTCCCAAACATGTAAGTCTTCAGGTAGTTCTGCCAGGCACAATAGCGAAAAATAAACAAGCGAGCACACACACACAAATACTACATTAGCAACATATCACACCACCACTGCGTGTGTTTGCATTGTGCAATGGCTGTAAGAGGGAAAGATCATGCTGCGTGTTATGTGTTTTTTTGGAAATACAGTTCATCGGTTTTGTGTTACTCGGTTTAATAGAGGGAAATTCGATTGCATACGAAAGCAAAGGAATAACACAATTATTGGTATTTCATTACAAATACTGTAATTATAGTTAGATTCTGTGTCAACTATGTTACATTGGGAATCAAAACCGTGCAATTAAGAAAAATATATATTCCATCAAATTCGATCTGATAATATTGGTTCCTCTTGTTTTTAAATCTATCCAGAAATCGTGAACTTTGTATCATTGCCAGCATTCGTGTATTTTAAATAGAAGATAATGATCCATGATTTTATTTTAAAAGCTAACCCTGGGAATAATTTAACAAAGTATGAAATCATCCAGTGGATTGCTCTGCCTGTTGAGAAAATTGTTATATCTCTTATCCACTCTTGAAAAAAACAGGGCTGAATTAAATCAAGCTTTGGTATTTTAGGGTTTTTTTTTCTCTCTCTCTATTTTTTCAATCCTACCACAGTTCTGTAACCTGCATAAAATACACGGTTGACTGAGCACCTAAGGATTAAAAAAAATAGCTCGCAAAGGGAGAGTCGTATAGACCGATAGAATTATATAGAGAATTCCAATTCAGGCAGCCTGTATGGTCCTCTGATGCTGTCACGGGAAAGGAGGTTAATCCCTTTCTTACCAAAAATTCAATTTCAAGTGACCTAGATAAAGAGAAGTAGTTTTTATTTATTTTACTTTTTTAGAATTGCTTGAAAAGTAAAAAAAAAATGGAATAGAATAAATAATAGATTTTGACCAGAGATTACACGTAAAGATTTGAAAGGTGAAATTATTTCAAAGATTTGGATGAGCGCCAAGAAAGATAGGATCATCACCGTAAATGTGACACTCACTTGTAATCCTTTTTTAAAGGAAGCTTTCCCCATGAAGTTGGCCAGCATTCGAATCAAAGCAGCGCCCTGCAGATATAACATTCATGCACAAAATTCCATGAATCAACACTTTCGGCTGTAAAAAAAGTAGATTGCTTTCCTGCTACGAGGACAACTCTTGCCACCTTAAACATCATTTGTCGAATGTGCTGCGCATTTTTTTTCCCTTTAACGTTTGTTTGTTTATAGCACTGCCAACTCAGGGCCAAATAAAACATTTAAACAAGCAACGCTAAATATTCAAACGGCATAAAGCATTCAAATTAACTTTGTAACACTTATCGCGAAATAAGTGTCACACACAAACGGTTGCATGCAATTCAAAACATGTTAAACATATTTATACATTTATAAACGATAGTTTTTGGTATACATGAATTAATAAAAAAAATTATTTAATCGATACTCTAATGGTTAATGCATCATCATCATTGCCATAATCGCTCATTGTCTATCCGGTGAAAGATGATGGCTCCCCCATTGTCAATCTAAGTGAACAACCAAATTTAAATAAATGACCCAAACTTATAGCCTGGTTCGTTGCTTTTCATTGATTATCGCAAAAAAATGTATTTAAATGAATTTCTTTTTAATAGCTGTGTAATGTGTATGAGCCTTTGCTATGTGTGGGCTGATCACTTAAAAAAACTGTCATTATAAATCTGTCTGCCATTCAGATGAACATTGCAGGCAATTAGATACACAAAACTCACCCACCCACTCACCCACCCACCCACCCACTCACCCACTCACCCACCCACCCACCCACTCGCCCACCTACTCACCCACCCACTCACTCACTCACCCACCTACTCACCCACCCACTCACTCACTCACCCACCCACCCACTCACCCACCCACCCACCCATTCACTCACGCACTCACCCACCTACTCACCCACCCACTCACTCACTCACCCACCTACTCACCCACCTACTCACTCACGCACTCACGCACCCACCCACTCACCTACCCACTCACCAACCCAACCCTCACTCACTCACTCACCCACCCACTCACTCACCTCACCCACCTCACTCACTCACCCACTCACTCACCCACTCACCCACCCACCCACCCACTCACCCACCCACCCACTCACCCACCCACCCACCCACCCACTCACCCACCCACCCACCCACTCACCCACTCACCCACCCACCCAACCTACTCACCCACCCTCTCACTCACCCACCCACCCACCCACTCACCCACCCACTCAAAATATTGCCAATGTGCAAGAAAGTGCAAACTAAACAATTTGAAATCTCTTCTTGGTTCTTTTGGTAAAGTCACGTAGAAGGGAAATAATAAAATAATAAAAATAAAACATAAAAAATAATTCTCACGACGTTTCGGCTACAACGCAAGCAGCCGTCCTCATTCTTCACCTGAGAATTATTTTATTATGTTTTATTTTTCTTATTTTATTATTTCCCTTCTACATGACTTTACCGAAAGAACCAAGAAGATGAATCCCTGCAGTCACGAAAGCTTTAAGTCGAAATTTTTAATCTGTTTCACAATTTGGCAAAACAAAAAAACTTTAGGCTTAAATACGAACGAATACTAAATTCAAACGCTAACATATGTTAATATGATTCATTCATTTGCCTGCGTTCATTGTGTTTGGTGTTTGATAGTAACCTTCACTATCCAAGCATTCACGTGGATAAATAATTAACACGACTTGTTCTCTGCCTGTTTAAATATGGCTGATATAGTCCCAGCCTTTTTATTATTAACCACATGATCATTATATTTAAATAGTTACAATTAGTGGAATATATAAAAACAATTGCTGAAAGCGTTAAAAGTATATTCTGTCATTAAAAAGCAACTGCATAACTGAACATGTACTATATGTCTACAGTATATGTGTATTCTGTAAACCCTGTCTCGAATGGATTTGAGTAAAACAACATTTTAGTTTTAAATCCCTGCAATGGAGATGCCATCTTGGAAGGAAAAAAAACCTTGACATTTCAACAAATCGACATCATGGTATTTAGAAGGCAAAAGGTTGACAAAATGATTTTTTCCCCCTGGCATGCAAGTAGCGGCTCTTAAAGAGCAATATGGAACCATTACGCATGATAGAGAGAGAACTAAAAAAACACATAGGAGGCATTCTATGCAGATCTCGATAGCAAAACAAAATGATATACACCGGATGTCCCAGGTGTCACACTTGCAGAAATATCGGCTGCCCTTTGCAGGATGAACAATGGGGAAAAAATCTCTCAGACTAGATAGAACAACTGTGGCCATCATTAATGGAGCAGGAGCAGCTGATAGGGCAACTTTATCTGACTTATTTACCAAGAAAGAAAACCTCAACAATCTTGATTTTAAGCTTTTGTGACTGCATGAATCCATACTCTTTGCTTCTTTAACGTCGTGATATATTATTTTTTATTTTGTTTTATTTTTCTACCTACGTGACTTTACCGATAGAACCAAAGAGTATGAAAACCTCAACAGTGCAGCAATGCCTTGTATATTTCTATTAAAAGAGGAAGACTAAGCTGATTTTACAAAATAGACTCATTTTTGTTTTATCACAAACATACACACTGTTCTTTAAAATCACAGAGAACCAAATAATGGAAAATTTAGAGGCAACAATTCATGGACTGCATATATCAATCAGGCATTATTTGTAAAAATATAACAATTAAAAGCAAATACCATTATTACTACATTTTGTAGACTATGAAAAGGCTTTTCAGTTAGTAAAAACTGATGTTATCTAGGTCCTTAAAAACCAAGGCCAGAAAGAACAAAAATATATAGAAATTACCAAATATATTTTATCATGGTGAAACAGCTACAATGAGATTGCATGAAGTAACTGTAAATCAGAAGAGGAGGCAGACAAGGAGACGTTATCTTACCGAGGCTAATCACAGTGGCATAAGGAAAATGTTTTTCCAAAAATTAGATTGGAGAAATAAAAACATTCATATAATAGGAGATAGTAGTGACCGTCTCAAATTTTCAGAAAACATAGTTATCTTAACACGTAGTTATTATAACAACCAACGGAAATAAAGTACAGAAACTGATTAAAATTAATTCTAAAAGAACGTTGCAAAGTTGGCCTAAAGATACAAAACAAAAGTCACGGGCAATGAGTTCGGACAAAGCTGGAAAACACAAGAGAGCATTAATCTAAAGCAATTGTTGTCAATAAATGACTGAGACAAATATGCTGTTGTGTTAACATTGAAGGTGAAACAGGATAGAAATGAAGACATTGAGGTGAGCGGGAGCAAGATGGAGTGCATTCGTGCCTAAAGTGAAAAGTCTTCAATCAATTCACATTACCCGCTACGACATACAGATCGGAAACGTGGACACTCACAAAACTAGACATTACACAAAGAAGTGTGGGGGTATTCATCTTCTTGGTTCTTTCCGTAAAGTAACGTAGAAGGGAAATAATAAAATAATAAAAATAAAACATAATAAAAGAATTCTCACATAATAAAATAATGACGCTGTCTTTCAGATGTTGTCTTTCCGACAGACCTGTTCTTCACCTGAGGACGGCTGCTTGCGTTGTGGCCGAAACGTCGTGAGAATTATTTTATGATGTTTTATTTTTATTATTTTATTACTTCCCTTCTACGTGACTTTACCGAAAGAACCAAGAAGATGAATTCCTGCAGTCACGAAAGCTTTCAATCGAAATTTAAGTGTGGGGATATGCACGTTGAAAAATCAAAATCACATCGACGAACTGAAACAATATCGTGTAGATCCGAGAATAAATACAACTTAGACATGATCATACGAACTTTGAAAAAAAAGTAGGTGGGTTTGGGCAGGACGTGCTGTTAAGGGGAGATAGTCGATGGACGAACCTCGTGGTGGAGTGGTAGCGCCTATTGGAATGAGCACATCTGATTGCAGTTACCTCCCATTAGATTCATTCCTGTATTGAAGACGTCTCGTTTTCTTCCACTGATTGACCAAAATATACTAATAGGGTTTTTCCCCTTTTTATTGGCAACAAAACTGACACCTTTTGTAAGGAATCATGTTAACATTAACCACAATACTTGCAGTCAAATGCAAACAAAAACAATACTCTGATAATTTATGCATTGTCCTTGAAACTGATTGTGCGCCTTTTGGCGTCATCTGGTCTAACACCATTTGAGACTAGGCTCTAAGAAAAGCTGTCTCTGGTGTGGACCAATCAGTTTCAAGGACAATGCATAAATTATCAGAGTATTGTTGTTTGTTTGCATTTGACTGCAAATATTGTGGTTAATGTTAACATGATTCCTTGCAAAAGGTGTCAGTTTTATTGCCAAAAAAAGGGGAAAACCCCTATTAGTAACTCTTTATGCGGTGGTTTGTGCCGCAGAAGCGATACGCCAATGTACACTATGGTTCAGGTACCAGGTTTTCTAAGTTGAGGTCAGCGATTGGTAGCAAAAATAAAATCTATACATCATCCAACATTCCATGAAGACAATCTCAGTCGTTAAAATTAACAAGCTATCGTGGTGCTTGCCAATACGTGCGATGGCTTTAATTAATGTAGCTTATGACAGACTTTAAAAACATTATGAATTTTGCAGAACTGAGCAGAAAAAAAAGTAACTTGAAAGAAGGACTTACTAGTTAGTTATTTTTCAATTGTATACTTCTATTCAAACCCATTGACATTCGGACAGTGTTTAAACAGCGTTTGCACGAATAAGTAACATCATATATGTATATGTTTCTGTTATTTACTTCGTATGTGAGGTGTTTTGTGAATTGTGAAAAATCTCGGTTTGGTGGAAAATTCAAATTGTTTTAGAATACCATACTAACCACAGCACTGTGTATGTGTGCATGCCATTCATTGAAAACATATTTCTAATTTATATGTGCACAGAATTCTGTCTGCCCCCTTGCAGAACTAATTATCATCCCATTCGTGTAATAGTGATGCAATTGGACCAGAAGCACGTGTGAATCTCGCCAATCATCGTCGCATGTCCCCGATGTCCAGACACATTGTCGCCTCTCTGAACTAAATTAAACTGCACTGATTTGTCATAAGTGCCGAGAAGAAATCCCCAGAAAAAACCCAACGAAGCACATCCCTTCAGTCCAATTCAGCAATGCGTGTGCGTGAGTGTGCATGCAGTCAACAAACACTGAGACGGATATTTTTTAAAAATTGTCATCGAAATTCCATCGAGTCACTGGCCTTCTTGTAAGCGATCCAGTCAAAGACCCTTGAGATGTCCTCTGGCTGGGACACCTCCTGGGAGATTGGATGGGAGCTGCATAGACCGTCAGGCAGCATGATATCATGTAGGTCATCAATCAGGAAGCGCTGGGTCTCCTGCACGCAAGCACGCACGCAAGCAGACAGGCACGCACATGCTATAGGGCAGCGCAACACGCAGAGGCTCGCATATCACAAGTTCACAATCGCACTTGCACGAGTGCATGATTAAAGATGTGGGGGGGGGAAGAAAACTTCACAGTCATCATCGTTCGTAAACACTTTATTTTTGTCGATGGAATATGCTATGCACGTGGCGAGGATACTGCCTCGGTGATAATGGTGAGTGCACCGGACCTACGACCCAGAGGTCGCCGGTTCGATCTCCCGGCGCGGTAGCTGAAACGATGGGGCAAGTTTCTTGAATGCCCCACACGCCCCTGTCCACCCAACGGTATAAGCGGGTCACACCACAGTCGATTGACAGGTTTCCTATGTTGGATGACAGTGTAGGCATCGTCTTCGCTTCCAAGAATTCTGGCTGGCTTGGAAGAGTAGGCCAAATAATCTCGAGGGGCCTTCCAGAGCTCCTTCTCATGGAGACCATTGGGTCGGACTGCATCTTATACCTTTAATATGCGAGCCAAGTAACTATACTCTTTGGTTCTTTCAGTAAAATCACGTAGGTATAAAACTAAATAATACCTACGTGACTTTACCGAAAGATACAAAGAGTATAGATTACTGCAGTCACGAAAGCTTCAAATCAAGCAACTAATTACGTGCACAGTTTATAAATTGACAAAACATACAGTAGTAGGCTTTTGCAGATGATATGATGGCGGTGGCAGGTCTCATGGCATAAATCTGGCTAGATCATTTCATCACTTAGCCCAACTATTAAATTGCGGATTATAAATTGGTTATTACGCTCGCGAAATGTGTATCACAGATTATTTACGATCGATGCACATTCTAATAAAGTGCCATGCCACTGTCACACTGAGACTATTTGCGTGAACAAAACAATTCAAACGAGACGGGGGGAAAAACGAGACGTAAGAATGGACCAATAAATCAAACAGTGGCGCAGAAATGTGGCAATTCGTTACGTTTGTGGTGCTGGTGAATCGTTACATTCCTGTCGCACACAATAAGATAACGTTTTTGGGCAATGGCTCTATTTCTGTCTGAAAGTAGAAACAAAAGAGAGTTTGATTTCTACTTTGAGACAGCGTTTTACAACGTGGGATCTCGAAAAGTCTGTGAAATTAAGAAATGACATATTGTGCATATGGATGAGTACTGGAGTGGCACTTCGAGGTGAGGGACCAAGTGTAAGATCCTAAGCAGATGGTTGGATTCTTTAGAGCGGAACTTTGGGGGTCAGATGTGAGCCGTGCAACAGCTTGGGACCTGGCAAAGGAAGGAAGTGATGGGAAAACGCCGTAGCATCAATCTCATTGGCCTTGACGGCCTCTTGACCTTGACATTAATTTATTCTGGATATCAAAATATAATGAAGATCCATTTTTATGCATTCACATTGAAGAGTAAACTAATTTTAAAATTATAATCAGCTTAGCTTAAGGGCACATTTAATTTATCTCAAAGCACCAATTTAATACTAACTCGTCACGGTTAATTTTTGTACATGTAAAAAATGTTTTTGCAAACAGCATACTAGACAACAGTATCTAAAACCCGTATGTACTGCGATAGTAATCAGAAACGACCGGGGCCATTGTGCATCGCCTCAACAGGTTCGCCTACTCGCACATATCGGCAGCTTATCACGATGAACAGGGGAGGGTGACCTATGCATATAGAGCAAGGCTCAAACTCGAACAGCTGGAAAGCCTGAGCCGGAGGCATTTACGCTGCGAATATCGATGCGGCGTAACCTCACCGCCTCCCCGATCCGACGCTTGGGTCGGATTTCAGCATCTTTGTGCTGAAATAATTTGAGATTTTAAAAAAATGTTTGGGCTTCCTGCAAATCAATGGAGTTCACGTTCCCGCCACTAATTGCCCTTGAAGAAGGCTTTTGCGTGAAGTTTAGAAGTAGCAAAGCATGTTGATTTGACCATGGGGCATCGTTAGGCCGATAAAGTTTTTCTTTCTTTCAAGTCTGCCATGCCTTGAAGTGCAGGATTTGATATTCGAGGGACTTGGAACGTAGCCTGACCCCAGCTATGTAACGAGCCAGTGCTTGGCACTAATAGATGGAGCTAACCTTTTCCCCTCTGTTCAAGATAGTGGCACCAGGGTGAATCACATCGCACATGCAGGTTTTAACAACACGTGGTTCTCAGGGTGCCTGAACTAAGTGGTATGTGTATGCCTATCAAGATGTCGCCTGATTCGAGAGCGAACATACGGCAATACCGAACGAACTAAAGTATCTTTTTTTATTTTCTCACGCACGCACAACTGATGCAAGCTTGTAAATTTCGATGGCAGACCGCTTGACTCATAACCAACCGATCTGAAGATCACACTTCTGGATCTGGTTGCGTCAGCCGACTATTGTGATGAAGTTGATCACATGATCAACTCATCATTGGTTGTTCTGGAGACTGGTCCCACTTAGGATTTATAATTGCTGACAATTTTATCTCGGGCCACCAGCAGACTTAAGTGGTACTGAATACGTGCTATCAAACGAAGATGGTCACTGCATCAGACGCTTTCAGATGCGCTTCTGCGGCCGTCTGGAACGCTCTTCCTTCCAACATTAGGAAGCCACTGGAGGTATGCACTTTTAAATTTAGATTTTAAACTAATTTCTTTAGGACTGTTCATTGTATTTTGTTTGTTGTATACCTCTGATTATCATAGTGGCTGCGTATGGTGCAAAAGAAGTTCAACATACATACAAAACTATTTTGAGCAGGGAAATGTTTCCCTTTGATTGACATCCAATAGTGCAGTTAATTCTGTTTCTTTAAATCAATTACCATGACGTACTGTGCACTATAAAACTGGTAACCTCAATGTGATTCCCAGTTATGGTGAGCGATTGATATCTGATCCGGTCCCGGGTGCCTCTTTTCCAACCACATGAACAAGCAGGGTAAAGTTTGGGCAGAAAATGCTCTTGGAGCCTCCATCCAGCAGCGTCTTGATGCTAAAAGACCGCAGATTGGTTTATAGAGTGACCCAAGACCAGTTCAGACATCACGCGCCATTCATGTTAACCATGGTTGTGAATCAAACTCAGGTTGCCAGGTTCAAATTTCGAGGTGCCGCCGCTTATTCACCCCAAATGATTAGCTTATCATATATATTTGTTCCGGTTATGTTCCAAGGAAGCGCTAATGTATGGCAAGTCATGAGGTGCGTTTGATTTGTGCTTTTATACCACCAAAAGAACCTTCCATTGACTTTAATATGCATGAAGTGCCTTTCTTTTTTGACATGCTGACAATGCCAAATTGGCATCACGGCACCACAGTTATTGCTTATCGCACACGCTCTCCCGTTGTGCACAATCACAGGCATTGGGGGAGAAAGCACTTAATTTAAATCAACAAATGAGGCCAGTGATTGATCCATTGGAATGCAAAAAAGCGGTGATTTCTATCAGAGCTGACTTCAGCGGGTGGAGTTGTAATTTGAGAGCCAAGCAGCTTGCCCTGCACACGCTGCTGGGTCTTTGAGAAATGCCGTGCACCGAGAAGTGGCTGCGTGGCTCTCAGGGGGCGTCGGCCTCAAGCTGCATCAGAGCCACCACGATCTGGCATCGCTCAGGTCCTCGGTGCAGAATGTGGGCAGCCACTTGTCATGAAACTGGCTTCTTGAGTTTCAGCAATTCGACGGCGTCAGCCCGGTCGCCAATGTTCGCACAAATGCCCCCATCTCGTTAAATTTGCCATTTCACTTCAAGTAATTTCGCCTCGTTCTACTTCTGAGGACTGAATCATTCTGTTTGGGTGCCACGTGATGATTGCCCTCTTCGGGGCATATAAAAGGTGCACCTCCCCTGTTGAAGGGTTTTAGGACTATGTCTGCTATATCGTCTTCCAGAGAGCATTCTGACATGAGGTAATGTTGCACTGCTCACGATGAGAGGTGAGAATGGGAAATGTATTCGTCTCCTTGCATGGCACTCATAGCACAGTTAAGATATGCACAGGCTACACGTATATGAATTTGTCATTTCACTGTCAAATGAGGGCCTCCTCCATGTCCTGTGGGCTGTGCGAGTTATTAGACCATTCTTCACCATGCTGGTCAGTTCAGGTTGACGAATGTGCCCTCTAATGCCCACACAACGTATATTTATTTATGTATGTTGAAGTTCTTTAGCACCGTACGTAGCCAACCACACTGCCTTTTGTACACGGTGATTACACTTCCAAACAATACCCAGTCTCAAGCACGCTTAGCTCCTGAGATCTGACATTCATAGAGATTTGGTCACAGGCCTATTCAATTTCTAATTAATTATAATGTAATTCAGAGGAGAACAAACACGAAAAAAACACGTAGATAAATTCCTGCGCTGGTATATATTTATTTCTCATCGCATCTCAATTAAACAGCTATATAGCCCCCTTAAGGATTATGTTGGCAAGATGTGAAGCAGGATTTTTATTTATGCCCAGACTGGGGTCAAATGTCATCGCTACATGAAAGTAAATAAACAAGGTTTAAAGGCAATTTAGTTTTTTTTCTTTCATTGGCTTGGAAGACACCCAAATTTCAGCAGTGGGTTCAAGCAATCCTCCGGCATTTATCATGCGTGAAAGTAAATGCGCACTAAAACTGCCTCTGTTGATGTATATCGTGACTTTTATTCAAAGGTACGATCCACAATTTATCCAAAATATCAATAGAATTTTTACGTCTTAGCTTTTAAGTTGACATTTAAATTTTTGGATTAAAAGCAACAATGTGGAAATTACCTAAGTTATGATCTGATCTAAGTTTCCTAGGCTGTGAAAAGGAAAAGTCTGGTATTATTAATATGTGCAGCTTTGTAATGTCTTAACAAAGGCAGAAAAGTTAAACAAAAGAAACCATGCCCCTTACTCTGACTGTTATGCCAGGGGATTGAACTGGCCACCACTCTATTGCAGCCCCCATTGTACCAACCATTACCCCACCAGAGCTTCATCGGGAATATCAATGCCATAATGAAATGGAGAAAAATATTTACGCGTACAATAGAATAAAAGTCTTTCAATTGTAGATCTATAGCAATAGAAAATGGATGTTCTTGTTCATGGCAAGGGCATGAAGCATTGTCAACGCTAACCATGTCTTTTTTTTTCAACGTATTCTATTTAAAAATAAGCATTTGAAGTCCAAACTCGTCATTGAAAAGTTAAACGTTGACAATACGGATCGATCGCCTTCACAAAGTTACTAACGCAACATCTCAACACAATAGAGAATTAACCATGAGCGTAACGTGCATACAACCGCTTTGTATTCTCTTCTGAATCAATTAATTACGTGTGTTGTGTGACATATCAATGGCAGATATGTCTAAACATATGCCTACGACACGTACAATATGTTAGCTATTCTGAATTAATTGAGCTATAATTAAATTTAAATAATGTCAAGTATCATGAACATTTTTTAATAAGCTGCAACAAAACACAACCTTAATAGTAGCCCATGCGTAATTTCAATTTGTGATCCATTGTTTTGTAAAATGTATATTAAATGTTTTATACTACATCCTATAACTCGTAATTTATATTTCGATTTAAAGCTTTCGTGACTGCAGGGATTCATCTTCTTGGTTCTTTCGGTAAAGTCACGTAGAAGGAAAGTATTAAAATAATAAAAATAAAACATAATAAAATAATTCTCACAATTGTGAGAATTATTTTACGTGACTTTACCGAAAGAACCAAGAAGATCATAATTTATACTGATTTTTTTAGTCCCAAAGCTGAAAACTTTTTTCTACTTGAATATTGTTTTGGTGAAAATTGCTGGAGGTTTCCCCAATGGAAAAAGCAAAGCATTTTGAAACAAATTTAAACCTCTGTGAAAATACAGGGTGCTTCGAATAAATGTTGACACTTCTGAGAATTTGCAACAATACCACGACAAATGTTCTGCCTGCGGGTTCTGGCCACCATCTGGAGAAGATTCCAGACATGAGCATTAACAATGATGACTTTTTGAAGCTATTAACATGCATTTGTTATCATCCATAATAGAGGGGTTTTTTTCGGTTAGATTGCGTAAATATATAAATTTGTTATCATGTTACAGTGTATTATCCGTTCTTTTTTCATTAAAAACGCTAGTCCCATGTAAGTGTTAAAACAATTTTAAGCATCCTGTATATCCCATAATTCTACTCAAATCGAGACAGTGAAATACAATCTTCAAAATGAGATACTCAAGGTGTCATAGTGACCTCATGTTAGATCTATTGGAAAGTCACATCTCTATGCAATACTTTAATTAAACGCAGAAACAGCATTCCTGATCCTGTTGAAAATATGAAAATTAAAGGATATAAACGACATGCTTATTGGAGAGCATTCCTACATTGGTTAAGGCAAAGCAGGTGATCTGGGTTTGAATCCCAGTCAAAGCTAAAATCAGTGGAGTGCGAAATCCAAAAGCAAGCTTGTGTCCCCCCATTCGCCAACATGGCCTTGACCGGTGTGGTGAAGTATGGTCACACAACACTCATGACCGAACAAGGCGTGAGGAGGCCTTCATCCAGCAGTATGTTGAAAAAGTGCCCTCAAATATTTGAAGCATTATTTACATTCCTGTAACCCGTATTCCACATCTGCCCATCAGTTGCTGAATCAAACCTGCCTATTTGTTATGTTCATACGATAAACACAGACACACAAACATAATCACGCACTATACACCTCTGATTAGCAACATACATACAGATAAAGACAAAGATCCCACCGATAGAAAAAGAGACTGTTGGAGCAAGTGCTGTTAGTGAGTGCCTATGAAAGCTGACATGACACACGAGGTTGGTGTGGCCAGCACCATACAAGGTGGCCTTTGTCTCCCTGTACCATCAATTAATTTAAGGCCGAGTCGACCTACGGAAGGCCCACGCACAGGTTAAAATATTCGTCTCAACCGTTAGCGGTGAGCGGGATTGAATTCTGAGTCACCGGGTCGAAGCGCTAACCGCTGCCCCACCGCTCCCCACACACACAGACGCATACACAAAGACCCCCCGGAAATCCGTTAACAGACTCTTGGGCAAGTGCTGTTTGCGTGCACCTATGAAGGCCAGCACGACATACAAGGGGTGGGTAGCCAGCACAATGCTCGGCCGCTTTTGCCTCCCTAGTAGCAATGTTTTCACACCGTACCAGGTACTCATTTGAGGCCCAGTTAACCTAGAGGATGCCCAGGACCGGTTTAGAAAATCATCACTGGTCTTGATCGTGAGCGGAAATCGAACTCGGGTCATCGGGTTCGTAATGTAGTAGGCTAACTCCTGCGCCACTGCTCCACACACACACACACACGTATACGCAAAGACAATCACACATACACACATTTATTTATTTCTTAGCGCCCAGCTCTAATTGTGTTTGCGTTGCCATGGTTGTGTAGTGTCTCGACTCTAGAGACACCCTTTGTCATCTCGCCGCCATATTTACAAGAACGTAACGCACCGTGCATTGTATTGCATCGCCTTTGTCTGTAATTGACTCGGGGGAGTTGTTGATCGATAGCGTGGGTCTAAATGAGAGAAGAGGAATGGGGTGGATCACGCCTTTAAAAAAAGACTCACGCTCGTTTCGTTTGTGATGCCATTGTTTCCGTGGCCATTTTGGGATTACGCGTTGAGATGATTGGCCCGTGAACCAAGACTTCAATTCCCTTGAAGTCCACTTTATTTGTTGATTCATTGACATCGACGAGTTCCAAAACAGTGCATTCAAAATATAGTTATGCCTTTTCAAGATGTTATGGCCCTCCGGACTTTCACATAATCCTGAACACGATCTGTGACCGTAGGTCATTGCGTGCCAAAGTACTCATTAAAGATGTTAACTTTTATTGGAATAAAGTCTCTGGTAACAGAGAATTAAATATCAATTCGCTATAATCAAGCCTTTCCTTATCAGAGTGAACAGGACAGTGAAACTGAATAAACATCGCACGTAGGTTTTCACAGCCAATATGATTATGATTCATAGTTCGATATTTTTGATGAGGCCATGCAATGCTCTGACTAAATCTGTGTCGTTGACCCAAAACAGCCAAACAAATGTAATTCTCACTCGTACATGCTTCTAACGTGCTAGATATTGCTGTTTCAGCTCACCAGAAATTTGAAAAACAATACACAAGACCGAATTAAGCAATCATATTCGACATAAGATTCAAATCTTGCTCTGCTGACGTTTGATGACGTTTCAAACGAAACGTCATATCCAATTGTTAAATTTGATTGCGAGGATTGTTCTTCAACTTACCGGTGAGCTGAAACAACAATAACTGGCGCATTAAAAGTGCATGTTCGAGTGACAATTCTATATTTTTTGGCTTCGCTGGGTGGTGGAGGGTCTTTACGACACACATTTTGGCCAGATCATTGTGACGTAGCCTTACCCAGAAACCTATTACAAATCGTAAACTGCGTCTTGAGGTTGCCATTGGCAGGTGATCAATACGATTTCCGGAAAGCGCGTAAAGGACACGCAGACACCCTGAATGACGTGAGATACCTTGGCACTGGGCGTTGCCGTGGTTGTAAGGGGTCAGCGACCTCTGAACCTGCGATCCAGAGGTCACCGATTCAATTCCGTCTTCCAGAGCGGCAGTTGAAACAATGGGGGGGGGGGGGGGGGGGGTGGGGGGGTGTGCGAGTTCCTTGAATCCCTTTCACATCGGTCCACCCAGCAGTATCGATCGATACGTCGATGGGCAGGTTGGCTGTGGAAAAGTAGGCCAAGGTAACCTCGAGCAGTCCCCTCAAGAGCTCCCAAGAGTGGAGACCCTTCCGACCAGCAGTGGCGTGAGCGAGGAATTTCACTTTCACCTTTACCTTTAGAAAATGTCTTGACTGCTACGAGGATATAAACATATGACTTTGAATATAAGAATACAGCGTTCCAGCTCGTTTATGCACCAGCTGTCAGAGTGAAGATATTATGGATGGCTGGATGAGCATTCTTTGAAGCTGCTTTTTTTTCCTTTCCATCGTGCATCTGTTAAAAGCCTAATTTATGACTTTTGAAGGTTCATTATTATGCGTGGACAGAGCAGCAATCAATACAGCAAATTAGATGTCATGCGCACAACAGTGTACAGTAATGGCAGTCCCATCAGTGGCGCAGACCTCGGGCTCAGCGCGTATTAACGTACCATGTTCCAGTGAGGGTAGAGGAAATCCGTTCCCAGGTATTCAAAGTAGTGAGCGAAGCCTTCCTTGAGCCAGACGTCCTCCCACCACTTCGGTGTGACAAGGTCACCGAACCACTGGAAAAATCAGAAACCGTCCAATTTCAGCGCTCAATTCAAAAGGCAATACACACACACATAGTGCAAAAAACATAATTTGCTGTCCATGCTAAACAAAGGCAAGAATATCCCCCCACACCTGCCCCCCCCCCCCCATATTCACGGAGGCTGTTGGGGCAAGCGCTCTTAGTGAGCATCTTTGAGGCCAGCACGGTGCACGAGGGGATGGCTGGCCAACACCAAGCCTGGCTGCCTTTGTGTCCCCAGTGCTGATGTATTCGCACCCCACCGTGTACTCATTTAAGACTGAGTCGGAGAGGAGGCCCAGAACCGGTTCAAATATTCACCACAGTTATCGGTCGTAAGCGGGAATCAAACTCGGGCCGCTGGGTTCGTGGGGAAGTTTGCTAACCACTGCGCCACCACTCGCCACACTAAGCTAAACACACGTACGTATTCACGCGCACTCTCCCTATTATTTACATGCAATGCAAGAAGCACGTGGTGCTCTGTGAATGGCACAGGGATCAGCTGTCTGACCACAAAGTACGTCAGCACAACTTATCCGCCGATAGGTGTTATATTTTGGTGCTGAAATGAACACCGTTGGCAAAGTTTCCAAGTCAACGTAAGGGGAATGAGAGAGGGAGAGTGAAGCAACACTTTGAATTATTGTTGGACTGCCATTAGGAAATGTTTGGCTTCTGGAAACTGAGTGAAATAAATGTTCTGAATAATAATGTATTTGTAATTAAAGTGTTGTCTTTTGTTGCCTCTAACGTTTTGCCCCCCCGCCATCCTCCCACCAGACTCACCCACCAACCCCCTTCTCGCCCAATGAAGTATTTTGTTTATTTTCATAAAGCATCTTGAGATACCGTTGCATTCAGACACAATACGAATATAAAATAATTCTCTATGTTGTTGCTGTTGTCCGCGACTCAAATGCCCCTCGGGTAGCCCTGAGCCAGCGATGGAAATTTCACATTTTTCAATGCCACGGCCGCGTTTTGGCGTCACACAAAATAGCGCCGAGTTTATTGACCCCTTGAGGGAAGATGGGCTGGGTCAACCGCCAACCGTTATTTGAACCCACAATTTCTGAAATGTAAGCCATGTGCTCTAATGAAGGCCTCCGTGAGTATTAATCGTTTAATAGATGAAAATGGCTATTTTAATAATGAGCTATCGCTGTCCCCTCCTTGATTGATTGCAAATCTGCTCTATGGAAAGGGGAGTAGCGTGGCAATCATGGCTCGCTCTGCCTGCCTTCACGCCCCATATCTCTTGGACCGTTTTACCAATCTTGACGAAATTTAAGGGATGGCTCTGCGGTGCAATTTCTCTTGCAAGATTGATTTTCAGGTCAAGAGGTTAAGGTCACAATGCTTGCCGTACGTTGGCCTGTGCTCAGGATATATCGAGAACTCCTGGACCAAATGCGCGTGACAAATGCTGGGATGTCCTCGGCCCAAAGAGCTTCAGCTAGGATTTATATTTTCGTTTTTTAGGTAAAAACGCCAATGGCGGTCGACATCAGGATGCTAACAAAGACTGTCACGGAGAAGTGCAGAGGTTACTCTCAATTTAATGGCATTACTAACATCGCACGAGTGTGCTACACGGAAATAGAAAATTACGACCGATGCTCCAATTTTCTTTCTCAGTAACTTATTATTCAGCTGATATAATCCTTTAGATATGCATTCGGGGGGAATGTCGGGAACATTTGGCTATTTATCAAGATAAAGCTCCATTGTTTCAAATGCGTTCACGCCAACCGCCGAGCCCAGCCAGAATTCGTAATGCACAAAAGGATTCATCGGCAACACGTAACCGTTTGCAAACAGCCATTCTGTATTGCTGCATCATTGACGAAGACGTTGCCCACACGTACCCAGCCTTCAAAGTGCTGAACTGATGAAAATATGAGGGTCTTAGGCATCTTGGCTGTATTGTGGATGGGTCAGCACATTCGAAAAACCCTCTCAGGGACCAGCCGGTTAGACGGAGTGTGTCGCTCAGCGACAGTGAGCGGGCCTCAGTGACGGTGCCTTTGGTGCTAAATCGGAAACTCGCCTTTTTTCATCCCATCACATTGCTGGCAGTGTTTCGTGCACTGCATCGGTTCTGTGGACTTTGACGGCCGTTTTGGCCCTTTTTTGTGTGTGCATGGGGTTATCGATGTTCCGTTGTATGTGTTGTTCGAGGTAAATTTCCCAACCCCTGTCACTGGCCCTACCCCAACCCACTCCTTAACCACTCCCACGTGTCCTCCTTACTGTCACCATAGCTACACCAACATTTGTTTAAAACCCCACTCTTTATTTTAACCGCTATCATATAATTTTATATTTATTGTAAGGCGCCTTGGGCTACGGTGGTATATACACCTATATCTAGATACGATTGTTCGTTATCGCTTTAGGATGTTGTTGCAGTGTTTAAGCGCTCGCTAAATGCAGCAGTTGGATTCAACTCCTGCATGTGCTCGCAGTGGTGCTTGGCAAAAGTTTGAGAGCTAAGAAGCGTTCAACGCGCCGTCCGACCCGGAGCACGACGCTTGGAATGAGTGTGGCTGCATATAACGCACGCGCTGCACATGTGTTGAAATTGTCGGTATATGAAAGAATAAGGAAATAAGGCCAAAGGCACTGATGTAAAGCACTATACGCAACTGAACTCTTTTTCTTCATACAAACTAATTTAAAAGAATCCCAGACAACAGAATGTAATTTATGTCTGGCATGCGCACTTTTCACACCCTAAAGGGACGCTTTTACAAATGTAACAAATTTAGTTACATGCTGAATAATATCCGCCACTAAATTATTCAACCGGCATGCATTTTTAAGCACTTCTCGCAAGTCAGTAATTCATATAATTCTATTTTGAACTGACTCTACTTAAAAAAAACTAAACTAAACGCATAGGCGCGAGTCGTTAATGCAATTCCATGTCCGTGCTAGGATTCAGGCCGTCAGACAGAGCGAGAGAGAGAAAACTTCACGCCACCTCGTATGGGTATCTCCTTGGTAGAAATAAAACCATTCCATCTCCACTGAACCCCACTTTCATCCCAAATCACCCAGTGCAGCACGCAGGCCCTGAGTCCCGTGATGGCGCTCGACAGAGCTGTATCCTCCGCAACAGAGGAGTGACTGCAGACAAAGTGGTGGAAGCTATAAAGCCTCCTTGTGCGAGGCCATGAGGGCCGTTTCCCTCTGATGCTCTGCAGTCTGCAAAACACGGCGTATTCATAGCGCAACGGATGTTTTAAAAGGTACCCCAATGAGAAGCTACGTGGCAAAAACTTTGGTTGTCGCGATCCTTAATAGACCATCTTGGAGCAGCTGTAGCAATAAGCTAATGAGAGGTTTAGAGTTGCATGAAAAAATGCCGGCGGGAAGATTTTTTTTTGTTTGTTTAATGACAAAACAGCGCATTGATCAAACTTCCCTTAATATATTATTGATTTGTTCATTTATTCAATTTGAAATAAAAGGCATTGAGTCGTGCTCAGCCTCAACTGCTTAAAGCGCTGTCATACGAAGGTTATCCCTGTTGATTGCGTGAACCAAAAATTGGGTGTTTGGGGAGGTTCATAGATCAACACTCAAATTACTCCCAATATCCACGGATCGTTCCACTGCAACATATCACCAAGCCGATTTGATAAAGGGCAGAGTTATGGAACTGGACGGCATTTTCACTTCATGTTTGCTTTGTCAATAGTAAATTCTAGGCAATATAGATGGAACATTAAGGATGGCAATAAGGAGTTGGAAAGTTTGAATTGCAAGTGCCCTCTTTTTGTAAGCTTACTGGAAATATTATGACTCTGGGGATGTTGCCGTGCTGTAAGGGGTAGTACACTGGACCTACAAGACAGAGGTTGCTGGTTCAATATCCCACCGCAGCAGCAGTGAAAATAAGGCCAAGTTTCTTAAATTCTTAAATTCCACTGCCCGTGTTCACTCAACATTACACACTTAAGTACCCTATTAATTCTAGATTTGAAGCTTTCGTGACTGCAATGATTCATACTCTTAGTTCTTTCGGTAAAGTCACGTGGGTAAAAAATGAAAATTTTTATTAATAATTATTATTTTATTTTTTTATTAATTTTCATTTTCATTTTTTACCTACGTGACTTTACCGAAAGAACTAAGCGTATTAAGTACCCTAGTTCGGCGAGCGACTGGTCACGTTGAGGTTTGGGGTCAAGTATGGGTGGTCCCACCTCTTGTAAGGCATCTGGCCAGGATGGAAAAGTAGACGAAAAAACCTGAGAGAGGGGCGTTGTGGAAACTCTGTCTCATGGAGGCCCTGCCGCAAGCAGGGGCAGTCAGCGAGGAATTGCAAAGGGCTCCTTGTACCGCTTTACCACTATAAATCCGAGTGGTTTTTATTTTTCCTGTCACTTCTTCAGAAGGTCTGTCTGCTACAAAATGACAGGTCAACTAAAACGCCAGTCAGCCGAAATGTTGAGATCTTCCTTTTCGGGTTGACTGACAGAAAAAAAACCCGTTATTACTTTTAGTTAACTTGTTTATGAAATGGAAAAAAGATTAACACACGCTTCGATAACACTGTTGCCTTAAAAGTAAAACATTTTACAGGCGATGTTTTGGGCACTAGCCCTTCTTCGTGGCACGTAAAAATGGTATAAGATCACTGAAGCCAAAACTTTATGAGATTATATAATAAATATCATCCCTTAACTTTGCGAGGAATTGATGTAGGACACTGCTGATGAAGAGTCTGGAGACTGAGTGAGGTTATCTTTGATAAAGAAAACTATTACAATGGTGCAGTGGTGAGTGCAGGGCGCTAAACACTATTAAAGTGCCACAGCGGTAAGCTCTCTGCACTAAAACCCAGTAAACGGAGTTTCATTCCCAGCCATAGTTAACCTCAGTGGCGAGTGATATTTGAACCAGTCTAGAGTCCATCATTGCCAACTTGCTCCGACCACAATGGCGAAGTATGGTCAAACAACCCCAATGATCAACGCGGTGTGGGGAGGCTATCCATACTCTTAGTTTTTTCGGGAAAGTCACGTAGGTAAAAAATGAAATTAATCAAATTAATTAAAATAAAATAATAATATTCTTTTATTTCTATTTTTATTAATTTTTATAAATTTTAATGAAATTAAAATTAATAAAATTAATAAAAAATAATATTTTATTTCTATTTTTATTAATTTGTATTATTTTTTATTTCATTTTTTACCTACGTGACTTTACCGAAAAAACTAAGAGTATGAATCCTTGCAGTCACGAAAGTTTCAAATCTAGAGGCTATCCATTATTATTCTCATGAATAATAATTATATTGTTATTGAGTTTATTAAAATAAAATACTAAATGCAGGATAGCATACGTTTACAAGATGTGGGCAACGGCTCACATCTCTGCTATGAAGAAGGCCATTGCCTGCCACGTCACCTATTTTCTCTCCGTGTATTTATTTTTTGAGGGCGCATGGAAGTGTTATTGATGAAAGCTTCGTTTTTTTGGGTACTTGCGCACCAATGCCAACGCTAGCATCACGCGTTTTTTTTATTCCATTTAGAATATAGTTATTCCTAATTGCTGACCAATGGGGTATTCATCTTCGTGAATGTAGTGTTGGGGTTGAGAGCTCAATGCCATGGTCAAACGGGCAGACCCAAAGAGCAAAGGTGAGGGTCGTTTGTCTCCAGCTGATAAAAAAAAAACTTCAGCGGAACAACGCGCCCATAATGATTTAAAATGCTTTCTCTTACTTGTCGTCAAGTCAATATAAAATGATTTTATATTGGACGGAACAATAAAAAAAGAAATTGATATAAAATACCCTGGTCCACGCTCATGTCATGTTTATTGCGCACATCAAATGTTTGATGTGAAATGTGTTCTGGAGGAACATATTGACCGACTTCGGTGTTGTGTGGGAACAGACAAAAATGTACAAAGAAAAAAAATCCCCCCCCCCCCCCCGTGCAGCCAACACAGCCTGCTGGGGCAAGTGCTGTTAGCGAGCACCTATGAAGGCCGGCACGGCACACGAGGGGGTTGATGGCCAGCACCACGCACGGCCGCCTTTTTCTCCCCGGCATTGATGTTTACACATCGCACTAGCTCATTTGAGGCTCGGTCGAGCTAATCGAGGCCCAGGACCGGTTCAGATAATCGCTGCTGGTGTTGGCCATGGGCGGAAATGGAACTTGAGTCACTTGGTTAATAACACGACACACTAACTGCTGCACTACACGTGGGCACACACCATGCACGTTGAGTGTCTAGTTCATAACTATCTCGAGTTGAAATAAACGGACACAACTCACTGCCGAATAATGAAACATTCTACTATATCCTCCCTATTACAAGGCACACAATCCAATAAGCGTGTGTGTGTCAGAACACATTTGTGTAAGTGTTTATCGACACTCGGCACAAGTGTGGGGGGGGGTGTCTATCTTTCCGGAGCATCTCATAAATCAGAGAATACGGGAGTAGGCTGATGTTTCGGGAAATGTTCCTTCTTCAGATCGAAGAGGAACTTGGGTGTGTTTTATCGTTGTTGTGTTTCTGTTGTCGTTGCACACAACTGCCAACATCGTTCCTTGTGAATATTTATACGTGAATATTGTAGCTCCTTTCAATAAAAAATAATAATTTGAAGACATTGCTTGACTGCATCACGTAGCGTTCATCAACCGCTCCATCTGCAGGCAATTTTGAGAAGGAGTGACTGGAAACACTTTGCATTGCATATTCAATGTATATGCCAGACCTGACGTGAGCGTTTTGTAGAATACAGAAGACAGCTCATCATCGCGTGGCTACGACTGAGATTTGAAACGCAAACGTTAATATTTCAGGCATGATAAGCTACCTTTATATATTTAAAAAAGCCATCTCTGAACACGTAGCTCGAATATTGTTAAGAGATAAATTTTTTTATTTCCGCTATTCCTCAATTGGCTCCGATAATTCTCCACGTACGATAAAGCCACTGCAACGAGCAATCATGTGTGGCCAGGTCAGTGGACATTACCAGGCAAACAATATTTAAAAAACCGTACAACATAATTTAATACGATTTGAAATCAGGAAATAAATAGATAGCTCATTCCATAATTTCTCGCAACAAAGCAGCGCATTAGGTAGCGTACAATATTCACGAGTGCAGTCATCAGCCATGAAATATCCACCTCGGGATGAATGCCTATCAATGCCGATTCCATCTCGCGTAATCGATCTTACGCCAGCGCGCGATGTGATCTCGTCACGTCGTCTCCCACGGTGGCCATCATCTTGTGTGTGTTACTCTTCTTTCTCACACGATAAGCCACTTCGTTGAGCTATCATTTGCGGCCGGGTCACTCCCGAAAAAAAAAGCGAATAGCCCAGTGGGCCTTACCTGTTAAAATAAAAAATAGTTTTCAATTTGTTTGTGGTTTGCTCACCTTTCCTACACTTTGCACTCCTGTTGTGTTTTTGTTATCGTAACGTTCTGACCCGCCCCCAACTGGTTATCTGAGAACAAGAACTTGATAGCTCATCAGATTATGAGGCCTCCTTTGCAAGTACCAAAATATAAGAATAGAGTTTTTCCCCTTTTTTCTGGCAACAAAACTGAAACCTTTTTACAAGGAATCATGTCTACATTAACCACAATACTTGTGGTCAGAATGCAAACAAAAAACATCTGATAATACATGCATTGTCCTTGAAACTGATTGGTCTACACCAGAGACAGCTTTCTTTAGTTTCAGTTTTGTTGCCAGAAAAAAGGGGAAAAACCCTATTCTTATAGCTCAGAAGATTTCACCAGTATAAACAAATCTTCTGATTCTGGTCATTTCCTCACCTAGTCTCGTTCATTGGCCGTCGGTCCTCTCTCACGACAGGTCCTTGCCAGGCTCACTTTTCTGAACGCTCACAGCGATGCCTCTAACGGGCATTTCCCCTCTGATCCACGTGTTTCTCCTTCCATCACTCGGTGCGAGTTCCATTTTTCTTTGTCGGTGTCCATGTTTCTGATCGACGTCATAACAGGATTCCTCCAGTCTAAATGAAAATTCTTATTTTGAAGTTGTTATTTTTTTCGTTCCTATACTTCGTTTTTGACGGGTTCCCTATTCCTGTGTCGTGTGGAGCACAAGTACCGATTATTGATGTTTTGTATCGGGATCGATGTAAACGTGCTTGTGTAAATAACATCTGTACTGTACAACGTATTTACCGCCGTAGGACAACCATGAAATAAGAGTCGATTAGCTCATTGGTTCCTTCCTGCTGAAATAAATAAAATCTCTCTATTTATTTTGTCATCTTGATCACCACCAGCCTTGAATAGTCACCCTCAGTATGCCCATTATCTCGCTTTCTCCAGTGGCATCCCTCGAATAATGACGTGAACTTGTTCGACAAAACTCGCGTACCGCTCTTTTTTTGCACATATTCATCTTGCGCCCGACTCCGCAGCCTCACAATGAACATAGGTGCGCGGCAAACGTGAGGCCCGTGAGTGCTCTCCCGTCGTCCACGTTTACGCCCTCGTTTCTCCGATCCAATTTTCAGAAAACATATTCTCACGTCGCTGTCAATTTACTGGAGGTCGCCGCGCGTCTCAGCGGCAGCAGCTGCCGCGGGATCTGGCGGGAGGGTGTGAAGCGTCGGCGCGGCGGTGGCGGCTTCAGCGAAGCGCTCGCCGCAATGACGCCCTGATCTTGACGGTAAAAACAAATGGCTCCGATAAGAAAACTCGGAGAGCGATGAGTGCCTCCCTCCAGCCACACCGCAACCAGGGCGTGCGGCAGCAACGACGGTACGCGGCGCAACTCCGGGAGACCGCTTGAGCTGTGCGGTTTAAAATATTTGACTGGAAACGAATTTCTTCAGAACTGCTTTTTCTGTTTGGTTTGTTGTCCTTCCTCCGCACCCCCGATTAGTACGGTTGGCTACATAAAGTGTGAAAGAAGTTCAAAGTGCATACGTACAACTACTATAGCAACACGAGAACCAGTTCGCCACACCATGTTAACAACCACAACATCAACGGCTACATCTCGGAGAAAGTAATTGGCGTTAGTTGCTGAATTTGTGACCGTCGTCATCGTGAATAATCGTAAATAACCAAAATTATTGTCGCTTTTAGAGTCTTACAAACCATTGTGTAACCTTTCTCAAATACATTACACACAATGGCCTACTTTTCCAAAGCAATCCCTTTGAAATATATATCAAAGGGGTAGATGCCAGGCTTGATGGTTCCATATCCAGAGTGCAATGTCAGGCCATGTGCATACGTATTGAGCGTGGCTTGAAACCACCAATGAGCCCTTAACGCACGGGCAAGTCACGAGCTGTAAACACAGCCGCGCAGCAGCCTCATCAGGAAAGCTAATTTTGAAACCAAAAGCCCAAGTGGGTCCTTGAACGAGTGAGCACTGGGCGGGGCTCGTCTCCAATTCGCAGAGCCGCGTTGCGATTCGGTGGTGAGAAATACCAAGGTCACATGGTCGGTGACGAGACGACCAACTGTCAATTTGTGGACGCGGTTTGATTTTTTTCCCAGGATTTGACCCCGTGGTGTAATGCGTACCTGGTGGCAGATTTCATGGGCAATGACCATCGTCGCTTCCAGCCAGTAGTGGGTCGAGGAGATGCCAGGATCCAGCAGAATCTTCTGCTCCACGAACACATTCAGGCCCCAGTTTTCCATCGCCGCATACGGGTGCTTGGGCACTGCCAGTAGATCTTGGGGTGGAAAACACACACACAGACACACAAACAAAAACATTGTTAGATGTTGGAAACACCAAAGGTGGGAGAAATCACTCCTCGCCTTGGTGTTAGATCTGACACACACACATGCACACATAGCTTTAGCTTCTGGGCTCTCACCAGCGATACATTCCAAAGCCATGAATTTAATAGCGCGAGGTGTACATGAGAATTAACACACCAGTTCCCACACGGTATTTACCCACATATAATCGTTTTGTCCTCACAGCACAGCTAACACACTCACTGCAAATGCTGCCTGCATACGCTGTAATGTTGCAAAACAACACAATATCAAGACCAGTACTATTATTTTTGGCGATATTCTCAATTAACAGCTTCGGAGAGATGATCAGACATACGGTACAACAGCACAATTTTTGTATGCATCAGCATCATCAACATCATCAGCCAAGATATAAAACCACTACTGGATGAGCCCCTTTCCAATCTATCACCTTCTCTCATGGTCTTGCGACGAAAACGATCCATTTAACAGATGCACACGGTCCGGTTTCATCGCTCCATCTCCACAGTGGTTGGATTTTTGGGTGGAGGGCGCCATGGTGATGAGATGTTAACTACCTCGCCTGGTATACAGGAGGTCATGGGTTCGATCACGATCCCCACCCCGACGATGCCTGTATATTGGGAGTTTGCATGCTCTCCGTGTGGTCATGTGGATTTGTCTCCGGACTCTCCAGTTTTTCCCTCCACATTTAGAAACAGGCTTTGAGAGCATTTGACAGCGAAACATTTCCACGTGATAAGCCACTTCGTTTGTGGCTATCATTTGCGGTCAGGTCACTTCTGAAAAAGAGCGATAGAGTTCAGTGGGCATAACCTGGTGAAATATCTAAGTTATTTCTTTTTTAATAGTTTAGTTTAGTATGGCCGCCTTTGGCTGCCACTCCATCGTTAGCCCTGAGGTCTGGACCGGTTGGCTACATATGGTGCGAAAAAAGTTCCACATACATACATCATCCCCTTCTGTTGACGTGTGACATGCCTTTCCCCCAAAACCTACTTGCCTTTCTTAACAGTCGATAACGTCGTCAAAAATTCACATTTCAACGCCGTCTAAATAAGACCACAGCGACATACGCCGTACATAGTCGGGGGGACTGCGGGAGAAAAGAAAGGGTGATGATCGCGGGGGTGAGAGGGCGTGATGTAAGAGGACTTTATCCAAAGACAAGAGACTAAAAGAAAGGTCTTGAACCTGGAATATAAGGACGAAGGCAGGGGGGCGGGGGTGCATAGAGCCAGTCGTACAAAAAGACCAAACAGAGGCAGCCTCTTGACAGAAGAGGCCCGGGGAAGAGTCTAACCTCTCTTCGAGTTGAAGTTCACTTGAATGTCTTTGCTGCTGAAGGGCAGACTATAAGTGAGAAAGATGAGATAAGAGGGGAAAGTTAGGCGAGATGATATTTTCAATGTCGTCGGTGCAGAGCAGTGACCACTTTCGGGCCTTGCAATTTAACCCTTTGGTTTCCGCCAATGTGGGAATTTCAGATTCCCCAAAGGATATGATTGCATCATGACATTTCCCTGTTTATACGCCAAGCCTTGCCAAGCCAAAGGGATGAGTTTTAGTAAAAATCTAATTCGTGATATCTGCCCAATTATATTTTTACAAATATTTGTTTCTAATGGGAGAAAGCAGGAGTTCATTTAGCAATTCCAAGCATACACGGGAATAAGACTCAAACTCCCCAAACAGATCAACAATCTATTTGTTGAACCGCCTCTGCAAATTACCCCAGGGTTGCGATTCAAGTCAAGAATCAATGCTCTCCTTAACTTCGTGGTCAATGTAGTGGCCTCTAGCAGCTGCCAGAATAACACGAGCCACATTATATACAACGTACATGCGTTGAAACGCATTTTATTCAACACGCAATTTCAAACATACATCGTTGATCTTAAGAATCGAATTAATCGATGCCTTGATACACCCCTATTTGGGCCCCTTGAGTTGAGTGACTGGCAATTGATCTCGGCATAATCCACCTACTGCTCTAGCAAGACAACCAAAAATAACTCTTCACTGCCATAACACCGGGCACTCGTGATATTACATTCCATTTGATTCTGCGCCGAACAAAAAAAATCCGCGATCATGTGACCAAACTATGACCCATGTGGACAGCAAGGCTGACGTGGCCATGGGGATCGGCTGGTGTGCAGGAGCTGGGTGGATTTGCGGTCGCAAGCCCACAGGGGATTTAGATGGCAAGCAGGAGGCCTTCAGCCATTATAAGGTCACACTAATTGCACGTAAAGTTCTTGCCACAAATGAACCACAATATTGTAATAAGAACCTATGTTGGATTCACGTGGTGATCGGCTTTGCCGGTCCCGCGTTACAGCCAATGGGGAGAGAGCCTGGGAGCATGGCCTCGGCGTGATCACGGGATGTCAGCTGGGTGATTGGTTTCGCTGGTCTTGGCCTCAGCCAATGGTAAGACAAGTCAGGGGCGTGGTCCCGGGAGTTGATGGGGGATCTGGAACATTCGGCTCAGGCTGTTGAGGATTGGCTGGAGTGTACCACGTGACCCAGGCGTTAAATAAGGGGAGAGAGGAGAGACACGTGGTCAGACACGGAACGAAGAGAGAGAGGGGCCACGCGCGAGTGGGCCTCCGGGTGCCACGTGGTGGTGTGTCTCTGGTAGCTGTCTGCCCGCTTCCCGTTGCCTGCCAGCAACAGGGAGTGTTTGTGAACTGCAAGAAGTGAAATAAAAGGACCGATTCCACAAGCCGTCTCTAGCGTGTTATTACAATATCATGATGATCTCGTCAAGGACTATAAACCATCACGCGAAATCCGGGCATCCTCGCAGCAGCTTTTTGGCTAACCATCGAACAAAAACGGCCAATGAATCGCGCGCTTTCAGGTGTGCTTCTGCGGCCATCTGGAATGAGCTTCCTTCAGATATTAGGAAGTCACTGGAGCTATGCACTTTTAAATCATCGAGATCGAAAACTCATTTCTTTCGAACTCCTTTTTGTGTTTAGTTTGTTGTCCTTCCCCCGCACAGCTGGATACGTACAGTACATTCAGAAGTGGATAGATCAGGGCTGATGGTGATGGTATGATGGGAACCATTAAGCTTGTCGGTGGAGGAGTTGTGAGAGGCCACCGGCCCATAACTGAAGCTGCTGCAGGGATAACATGCTGAGAGCAACCTCATCCCCGTTTCGTTTAATCCCCTTGTACGTGGCACATTGGTGGCAAGGAGCATGGAGGCTTAGGCTGCGGCACAAGTGAAAAGCATTAACCCCTTCACCCACGAATTTATGACTGCCGAGATAACACTGGGAGATGCTGAAGCAGTTTCTCACGAGCTTAGTTGGCAGGAGGCGCCGTAATCGGATGATAAAAAATGCTGGGCCTTGCACTACTCTGGGACGAGATGAAAAATTCTGGGTGAAAAAAAAAATCCTCTCATTTTGTTCGCTCCGAATAAATTTTGTGAAATTGCCCGGTTAAATGTTAGTCCAGGTGATTTATGGAGGGTTTATGGTTCCATTGATGAGTCAAAGTACATTTTGATTCACCCTAGCTTGGCAGAAAATTATCACATTGGAACACCTCAGGTCACAGCTAGTTTACCCGAACAACATTCCCCTGCCCCCTTTGTACACGCTGACTCTTTGCATAGCAACTGTAAGCAAGTGAATAGTTTCGTACTAAATTATTCAACGATGATTCTATTGAAATTACAAGTTTTCCGATGACAATTACAGTAACTGACAGTCACGACTCACTGTATAAAGTGCTACTATCTCTACAAAACTATAATAATTTATAGCTCTGTCTGAATAGTTCCATTCCTGAAGAAGCTCCCAGTACGTGAAGCAAAACGTCGGACGTTATGTCGGAGAACAACACGCGGTGAAACCCTACAACGCATCGGAGAGCTACACAGCACAACCACGGAAACCTACGCATATTAAATATAATTATAAATACAGTAAAACCTTGGATGGCGAGCATAATTCGTTCCGGAAACGTGTTTGTAATCCAAAGCACTCGTATATCAAAGCACTCGTATATCAGTTGTGATCACGTGACGCTCGGCAGACAAAGCGTATACACGTACTACTCGTATTTCAAAACCTCGCTCGTTTATCAAATTAATATTTATTTAAAAAAAATGCTCTTCTTGCAAAACACTCGCAGACCAAATTACTCGCAATCCAAGGTTTTTGCTGTATATTAAGGTTATAATTTAACGTATTTAAAAGCTCGTAACATTGTTTGTATATTTGCGAGCGTGTACTCCAACAAAAACGAGCGACGACTGTCAGGAAGTGAGAGGGCACGAAGGTTCTTTGACCTTAAAACCTTTGAAAATTTAAACATGTGTACGGAAATAACGAATTTCAGTAATTACGATAGACTGCTTTGCTCATCAATCCGGTGACTTGCGCAAGGTCTTCGATAACTATTTGGCTTCCACTATCGCCGACTGTCCCTTCGTGGAAGAAGCCTCTTGCCACCAATAGAATCAGGGTCATAAACAGCACCTCCATTTGTTACATTTTCAGTGAGCGTAGCGCAAAATAACTGTGAACAGAATTAATTAAAAAAATATATATGAATACATCACATGCAATTATGCATCCTATTATTTTTGCATGTGCAGTTCATTATTGGTAGGTCAATAGATACTCGGCATATAACGATGGGCCATTCCCCTCCCGCCATCTCCCCACTCACCCACCCCGCCACGACCCATCCCCACCGAAGCCCCAGCAATTCCATGAATTGTTATGAATTGGGGTTGCAATTCAAATGAAGAATCAACTCTTGTTTGCCCCCTGATTTTCACCGTCCCGATTGCTTTGCTTCTGATTGCCTCCCTTCTCGTTCATACGGTCTCCTTCGCTTCATTAGCTTCAACGTAACATCGGCATTAACATTCGCGTATGGTTTGCAGAGGTTGCAAATAAAAAAATATTAGATG